AACGCACCTGAACGAGTAAACAATCATTGAAGCGGTCACCATCGGTAGTCTATCTTTATTTCGTATGGTTATCAGTGGCGAACTTTTGAAAGAGCAGCGCAGGTGCGCGGCGTTGCATGTGGCTTTTACCGCTCCATTCAGTCGTCTGATAAGGGTTTCAACTTCACCAACTTCACCCTTAAAAGGGAGACTAATGAACAGCTCCTTCTTTTCCACCCTATCAGTGTGTACTTTTGGTACCTGTTTCATCATATTTCGTTGAATGAATCGGTTGGAGATAAATGTAAGTTCATCCTCCAATACTTCTTGTGAGCAGATTCTCCGAGCTCTAGATACCAAACATTTAAACATATTCCTCCTTAGCTTGATCGGGACATAGCTGTAAAAATTCGTGCATTGGCCACTTCAGGTTATTTTATGGTATACGCGGCGTTGTATAGATCCATCACATCTTCTAATGAGGAGTTAATCTAGAAACGATATTCGATCATGTGTTTCTACCTCCTTTGTATATGTTATGGTCTTGTGTGCGGAGTTGAACTTTTCTGGTAGTTGATCCAGTTTGCAGTTTGAATCAGCTATACAAAATATATCGTCCAAATACCGACAATATTTATGAAGACTAGTAACGGTGTCCTCAGTTGGTTACTTTCCAGCATCGCTATAAAAAATCCGCTAAAAGGGGTCTTAGTGGTGATCCCATTGCTACTCCGTCCTTCTATCGGTAGACCGTTCCGTTGAAAAGAAATTGCACATTATATGTACACCGAAATAGAAGTTTGCGTAGTACCTCCCAAAATCAATTTCGTTATCAGTGAGATGTTTGAGATGAACTGGCTGGTTTCCACTGATGGCACATTTGTGAAAAGTGACGTGATATCCCTCATCAGCATCATCTTTCCTGACCAGTCTATATCTCGTATTGCTTCAATAAATTGGAAGGTATCCTTAACACAGTATGCCGATAACCGTTTCTTTTCGGGTTCAAGGGTTTCAGCCAAACATTGAGCGACAGCAAGGTATGGAGAATTAGTCATCGATAGGATGGGACGAAGGGGAACCTGAACCTTAGGGATTTTTTGCAAACCATATAGCCTCGGAATGCATGAACCGGTAGTTCTTATGCGTATGCTTATGTAACCCCCTTGATTGAGTCGTTTCAGTATCCCCGAGATTTGTCGTTAGAATACGTACGTTGGCCTTAGTCGAGGACATCTGTATCAAGCATTTGACCCCCGAACTATGCGCCCAGAAACGTCTTATCCAAGCTGTCCATCCCCCTGGGTTCGCGAACCCACTGCTCCCCCACACCCCACCCCCTGCCCGGACACACACAAACATTTTCACACAACAACACCGATCCCCCAGAACTGGGTCACACGACCATCGTGATACAACTGCGAACCCCGGAAGCACAGATCTGAGAATGCGGTGTGCAACACATACGAACACTTGGGACAAAATCGGGGTTTCTGTGCACGTAGATATCCTACAACATTGCTGCACTAATATGGATAAATCTTTGTTCCGACAAACGCTTTCTTCGTACAAACAGACGGGCAGATTCGAGAGGAATGCTGTTCCGTATACCCCGTTACCCCTCGAATGGTTGCATTTCATTTAGTACCCTATTTGGAATCATTCACGATGTATCTGATTTGTGTGGGAAGTGGTTTATACACACACAGCTAGTAGTAATTTCATTGGCATTGCCCGATTAATTGAAAGATAAATCTACCGACCGTAACCACCATCTTGATTACTGTATGCCGATCTCTCTCATCTAGGCAAAATAAGTTTGAAAAAATGGTGTCAAATAATGGAAAAAGTGCTCAATCTGAAGCTGCCTTGGCGCACGTTGCAACCGCGTTTGTGCACCATGAACGAACAGACCCGTCAAGTGGAATACGAGACCACATTTGAGAAACTCAATGTTTCACACTCTGTGGCAAATGTGAGTGACGAGACATGTGTTTTTGTGTATGTATGATGCTTTTTCTCATTCATATTTATATTTGTGTTCCACAAATTCCATTTCAGGCATTGTGTAGCGCTGAAATGGTTTTGTGAACTCGGCAGATGTGCGTGTATTGGTCAACGCCCATTTTACAGAGTTTAAAATGCTAAACACCGGTGATGATTTGGGACCTTTATGTTAGACAAAAAGCACCACATTCTGCCTAATTCAATGGGATTTTATTATTTTTCACATCCCGAACAAAGGACACGGATTACTCACAAGGCTAATAACGCATGAGTATATATTATGTGTTCGGAACCCAAATGAGGCCCGTATTCATCCATTGACTCTGGTCCCATAAAGTGAAATCCATTGAAGTGGAAATTCCCAAAATCCACCAAAGCCTAAATGTTGTCCTTGTTTTGTGATTCATTGAAAACAAAATCTAATAGGCAAAATAAGCTGTTTTTCGATAACCTATAAAATAACCATTTGCACTTATATAGGTAGAGCATTTAATATTGTTTTATCTTTTGCTAGGTGGATCTTATTGCCCCATGTGCAAAGCGATGCTACATGCGTCAGCAGCTTGATTGATCTTCCCCTTGGTTACGACATTCTTCCAGTTACCACGCTCGCATCGGTTGGTCTCTTAGCCAATGGCCAAGGTATAGAACGAAACGCTTCGGATTGCATTGTGGGTGGTCAAATAATTTGATCGCAATAGCTTCAGCCGTGCACAGAAGGATAAAGCGTACGCATTTAGATGACAATGGTGGAATAAGACAAACGATACTGAACGCTCGACTTACGTCCACTTGGTGATTACTCTCGAGTAGGTGTTTGCATATCGCGCTTCTCGCTGTCCTCGTTTCTCCGTGTGCTAACCATCGAGGATGGTATTCCTTCATACTCTTTGATCATTGATTTATTGTCCGGCCTATATAGCTCGCTCCACAGGAGCGAATGATTCAATCTATGTAAAATTTTGGCGGCACTTCCGAGGAAGTAGACCTTACATTCAGCAGTCAGAACGGTCTCGATACCGCCCAAAGCATATCAGTAAATGTGCAAGTTTCTTACCGGTTTATTTTGTTGAGTAGCTATACGGATTAGTGGATACGATCCAATAAGCGTACTACGTTCAACGTTCAGCTTGATCAGTGACAAGAAAAAGGAGTAAACTGGAATCTGACAGAACTTATCAATTCACAAAATAAGATCCGACAAGGAGAATATACCACACAGAGACGGCGGTTTGGTGAGCCGTGAAAAGAGTACCTCTAATGGCTTCTAAAATAAGTTTGTTTTTAAATCAAAGTCAATCCGAAATTTGACGTTAAATCTTCCTTCTTGTGTCAGTTAAAAGCAGCTGACTGTTTATCCCGTTCTTGTTCAGCATTTGAATGAACTATAACAAATAGCACCTCCCAAGTCTGCTTCCAGCAGCTCAAGCATGGATCTCGGTCTCGAGCTCAGGGGAAATCATTCGATGCCAAATAATAAGACAGTAAAAATACAAATCAAAGCAAACGTTAGGTAGCAAAAGCTGTATGCATGAACGAAGAGGCAGTGAAACCTTTATCTAAAATTCCATTTTTTATTTCCTTCACGACAACACCATGACACTAAATGATACCTTGTTTTGTTGAATTCGATATCATAGTTGTACGGAAACGGGAAATGTCAAATTCGACGTCTCAGTATGCGCGTGCATGTGTCACACTACATGATCAGGTAATCATTAATGAGACTCTCTAAAAATTAGAAAACCAAACAGTGCACTAAATACTTAGTCAGTAAGATTAGCTGTCCAGGATTCCCCTTAGTTTGACGTTTCTGGTACGTAACGTGCTTTCGCACCTGAAACGGATTCCCGTTTACCTTAGTGCCAACAATCAAATTTAGGAATTACATAAAGCACAAAGTTGGTATGATTTATTTTTGGCTATTCCACTATATTTCATTTCAAGACTGGTGACGAATTCCTCAGAGGGATTGCGTCCCGCTTTCTACACATAAAACAGTAACCGTTAATCCCCCAAAAGGAGATTTCGGAATAATGTGAATATACCTTTGAACGAAACCTTGGATGCGTTACAACATTGATGAGTATTTTAACACGTTTTGGTCGAAACCCGAGAAAATCCTTGCACGGTGTAATATGTGATTCGGTTTTCATGCCCCGTTTCAGGCATCTACCTCGGTGACAGAGGAGTTGTACAAAAATCGTGATATCCTGGAGGGCATATTCCGCGCCATTGATAAAGACCACTCGGGTAAGTAACCTTTATTGGAAAATCCATTCTATGAAAGTTGCATGGTTTCACGTGTCTGAATCGTATTGATCACGCGAAGATTAGCAATAAAATTGTACTATTTGTACATATAAAAGCCCCAACTGACAGTATACTTCATCCTGGCCGTTCACTAAATAACGCAGTTGCTGCATCCCTGTTGTCAAAGCCGCATCCTGCTCGGTTGACTGATGACCAAGAAGGTAACACAATAAAAAATGCATGATCATTTAATTATAACTGACAATTTTCGCTGTATCCATATATTGCAAACAAAAGGACTAACCGTAAAAGACTTCGCTTATTAGGTGTGTCGCAAACTATCTTAATACTGGTGAAGGGAATACATTCGCTCAATAAACAACAAATTACTATGCTTTTCAACCTTTGATAATCGACTACTTTGATTTGAGACGACAAGCCGACATTCGAGGCGCATTGATATTTGATTTAAAGAAAGTTGACATTTGTGGTTTAAACAACTTATCTAGTTATCATTCACAGTAGAATGGCTAGGCGGCATTACTCACGTTTTTCATCTTTATCAACAGCATACACTTAACGAGTCCGTGGCGGCCTTAAACCCGCACTCTAAGTATCTATGAGTCTAACACACAACCACATAACTAACCTGTTTGGCTCCAATATTTGACTTGATGTGAGCACTCTGGTATGATATGATATCCGTCTATGTGATTGGGTGTTGCCTGTTCTCTTGGTTATGTGCGCCGACAGAGCAACGTATTTTGTTCCCTAATTGGGTGGAGTATGGCTTGAACACCCCGACGATAGACTTTTAATTTTGCTAAATAATGAAGTAAAATCAAGTCGTTTTTCATAAATAAAAAAGAACTACATCGTTTTTAATCCGTGTTCTATAATATTATAGTTTGTTCATTTGCGTTGATTTTTGTATATCATGTTATCATTGAAAAACAAAATCTGGTTGAAATAGTCAACTTCACTCTATTTTGCGTATAAATACCTATTTCATGTTCCTCAATGCAGATGTCTCTTGTGCGCCCCTTGTATGGGTCCCCAGTTTGCCCCAGTAGTTCAATTTTCAATGGATTCAGTCTGACGTATCAGATCCTCCTCCGTGCTATCACCTACAAATGACTAATTGAAAAAAGTTGCAATTTATGATAGAAGGATTATTTGTTCGAGGTCACTTCAATCGTAATTTGTGTCAGATTTTCTGACCGTAATAAGGTATTCGTCAAATTTATCTGTAGTTGGAACTTGGCCTACTTCTACACTTTTTTACTTGCGACTGTGGTTCGAAAGACGATCGGTACATTTTGGTGATCAACAAAAGTGCGTCAAGGTGATGAATCACTCCACACAGCCATAACACTGGAGTGAGGGCTGCTCAAAATATCGATAATTGTCGTGGTAAGGAAGTGTTTGTTCCTACTGCGATAATGGAGAAAGAAAACAACCTTTAATCAAAGGTCGAGTTGATATGGACTGGAGAGGCGGTGAAAACTTTCTGTCAATACAGAAGAAGCAACTCAGCCCCTCTGACTACCACTGATAATCAAGCAACTATTGCATGGTGTTAATTAAGAATTCTCATCTTCGTTTCACCTGATTCCGTAACAATACCCGATATCAACACAATTCAACAAAATGTTCAATGCTTTCTCGTTTTGATCCTCAAAAAAATCAACACGAATAAAAGGACGAACTCCGGACCCCCTCCATATCCACAAGCAAACAGTTCCCGTGATTTTGATGTGCAAGAGGTTCACCAGGAATGAGTTGGTCTTTCGCGATAACATTACCATTTTTGAAAATAAACTGTATTTCAACGAAAAAGAGAAAATAACCAAGATCAAGGTTTTCTTTAAAGACTGAGGTCTGATCTGTGTAACATGATCCAGATGTAAGCAAACAGAAGATATGTATTCTCTGGGGATTTGGAGTCAAACGATATTTGCATTTCGATGAGTCCGTAAAATATAGAAAACGTACACCAAATGGAACCCTTTGGTGTATTTTGTAAGCGCGGTAAAACCCGATCCAGTTTTTGTGAATCGACTTAAACTCTGCTCCCTCAGAGATAAAATGAAACGCTCCTTTTCAATCGCTATTTGGACTAAAAACTCAGATTAGTTTTTCTAATCTTCTTCCTTCTCGTTACTACAAATTATAACTACGACGGTGGCCTCCGTGAGGAAGAATATAATTCCTGTTCTTTAATAATAACTTCTAAAGGAAAACAAATATCACGATTGTTTACCAAATATAGTTGTGCGTGACATAAACGGAGGCTGAATATCACGGAACGCTTCTCTGAATGACTGCATATATATATATATATATATTCTATGACAAATCATGTCGTCGTAATATGTCAATCAGCAAGACCACTTTTTAACTCGAAGGAGCAGACGGAAGGGTTTGTTTGTTGGTCATTTATTGGAAGATAATTATTTTTTAGTATCCAAACACTGCTGTCTTCCTTCCACCTTACTGGTTAGCCTATTTAAGTTCATGTTTTGAATTCAACTTCTCGGCAAACTGTTTTTCACATATATTCTAGCATTTTATTGTTTGCGGAAGGAAACAGTTCATATCTGCAATTAACAGTTGCCCATTATGCGCTCCCTGCA